CACGAGGTTTAATTTTGGGGATTGTTTTGTTTGACTTGTTGGTTGAACTCGTTAATGATGATTGTAATGTAAAAGCAAAAGTTTGCATCTATTGTTCTGAGGAAGTTAGCTAATGATGAAAAGCAGTGCTTGTATCAGCTGCAAGAGTCAGTAAGAAAGTAGGAGACAAGTAAGTAGTTTGAGCCCTATCAATATATGATGAAACTCAAGTAATTTTTGGAGAGTCTACACTTTTAATTATGTGGTGACTGCAACCCCATTAACACCTTTTTTCTGACACAGAAGCTTGCTCACTTGCTTGTTTTTTATTCTGTAGTAGTTATCAAAGACAATAGATTAACATAATGAAATACAATTAATTTACCTAAACTAAGATGTTCAATGAAAAATTTCTAAGTTTTTAGATACTTGCATGGCTATGAACTGAACCTGTATCTGTGTTTCAGAATATGTTTGCCAGTTGATATGCTGTTTCTCTCTGTACATAAACTGCTGAAAAGTACAGTCTGATGTATATTAAAAATAAGACAGTTCAATCCAGTTGTTTTAGAAAGGTAAAATAATGATAGTGTAATTGAAAAGGGCATGAGGTTAAGTTTGCATTAGCCTGCTTTTCTGTTTCTCTGCAGCACTAAAAATTTCGCCAAGCCTCCAACAGATAGTGTTTAAAGTGTATTTTTCATTTCAGCTTCGGACTTCAAGGCTTGTGCTTTTTCAGATTTTTCTTAGTGATTGTAAAAACTAAAACAAACACCACCACCTCCCAAAAAAAGAAATTAAAAATTAACCCTTACACCAAGAGCCAGAGTCCTCAAGACTCCTATGACAATGTGACATTTGAGATAAACATCAGGGGAGTGAGCAGTATCTCATATATGTGCAAGGTATTTTTTATAGTTAACAGATGAACTAATGTATTTCCATTATCAGTCAGTTTATTTTTTAACATTCACAGCAACTACAAAGCATCATGTGCTGTAAAGTGATATAAATTCCAGACAGGCTTTAGTAATGGAAAGAAGTTAGCAAATTACTTCTAGTAGAGGTATCAAAAAGGAAAACTAGATTGGGCATACATCTGTAACCTTCTTCCTTTTCCCCTCCCTTTGTCAAGACTCGGGAAAATATCCTGTATTGTTCTTATAAAGTCCTATTAGGTAGTAGCATGTTAATAAAAATTATTACTGTGATCAAAAAATCAAGATGAGCACTCAACGAAAAACTGTTTTTATTCAACCATTGCTTCTTAAAAATGTTACGCATATGCAGCCAGAAAGATTTAAATATATCGTAACTGCAGTAATACAGCTGAAAGTACTGCTGAGGTGGCAGGTGTGAATGACATGAAGATAATTTGCACAGATTTTGAGAAGTGATATTGTAGGAGACGTTGGGGGGCTCTAACATTTGGAGTAAAAACTTACAACTGGATGCGTGGAGGGAGAGATGAACAATAGTGCAGTTTGAGTAAAAGGAGATAGGTCGAGTAGAAAACAGGCTTGTCTGTTTTCATTACGGACCTTGTACGAGGTTGCAGCTGAGATTAACCCAGAAATAAGGCTGAATGGGAAAAGAGGAGGAGATCAGAAACGTACATCATATTTCAGCTCCCTCAAAACCAAACCAAACCCCTGGCTCTGTTAAGGCAGCTCTTCTGAAGGGTATGCTGGAGAGGGAGGAGAATCAGAAGCAAGGATATAGTAACCAAGCATGGGGGAAGATACCAAAAAATAATATGGTTGACTAATATCTGGAGTATTAATGGAGGAGATCAGAGTACTTTCTCTGAACTTCAGCTATTAGTAGGTTGGTTGAAACTTTGGTAAGGTGTCCTCTGTGGTCCGTGTCTGAGTTGGCTGAACAGGGCCAAAAACAGCTGGAAAAGAGAACGCCTCGTTTGTCGCAGAGATGAGAGACAAGCCTATAGGCAGTTGAATCAAGAGTGGATTTTTGCATTCTTGGATTTTGATCAGCAAGCTGGAGAGTAGGAAAAGGGAGTCCATGAGAACAGGTACATAATGAATTCAGATGAAATGGGATCACTGTGGGGGCGAGAAGATTAGAGTAAAAGAGCAGAGGTTTGAGGATTTCTTTTTTAGTGTAGATGTAGACTACTAAAGGTATTGGATGGTAATAGAGGAAGAAGCCTAACAGAGGAAGGAGCAAATAGTTTCAGCAAGCACGGAGACCAAAATAGATATTTACTTTTTTAATTAGTAGATCCCCTACCATGTATTTGTTACTAGTTACATGAAATTGTAGTCTTTTGAAGATAAAAATTGCATATGCTGCAAATACTGTATTTTCCAAATCTATAGGAAAGAAGTTAAAAGCTAAATGATAAATCTGAAAATAATGAATTTTCTGCATTATTTAAGAAATGAACAGAATAGCCTTTTCTGCATCGATTATTATTTGTCCAAGGTGACAAATGTGACATTTGTGCCTTACTGTTTTTACTGGGGGGTTTTTTTGTTTGTTTGTTTTTTTTTATGTTTTCCAGCATAGTCCAAAATTATTTTTCAGTCAGGCAAAGTTTTGGTGTAGCAAAGGAAAAGTGTGACCGATTTTGTGGAGGTGTTTTCTCAACGTTGTTGGCAGGAGAGAAGCTGGTATTCTTAGTGCTCTTTTGGGCAATTGGTCAGTAATGTTTTCATGTATCTGTAAGAAAGTGATCTGAGAAGGTGTGGTCGTGTGGCCAATTCAAACATATAAAAATATGAGCAACAGTTTTCTGGCAGTGCTATTGAAATGTAGTTAAGTTTCAGTGGTACTAAGTCTGGTATAATATTCCTTGAATAGGCCTTTACATCCTTTTGGGTGTAAGCTCGGAGGAGAATGTGTCATCCAAATGGAGTGAAATACACGGCAGTCATAATACCTCTTTTTAGGTATTAGAATTAACCCTACAATATTTGGGGTGGATCCAATTTTAAATATAGTATCTGAAATATTTTAAAATAATTAAGTATAATTTTTTAGATAAAATATTGCTTTGAGGAGTAACTGCTGGATGCATACCTCAAACATAATTGTTAAAATAAGTAACATCGCTAAAAGGAAACCATGTAAGTCTTTGATATGATCTGAGTATTTTGTCTTGTATGCTTATTAAGCATTGATTTTTTTGATTATTTTTTTTTAAATGAACTTTCACAAATGTGGTATCCAATCAAGTGCCAATGTTAAAAATGCTGTTAGAATTGAAATACAACTGGAAAAGCTAAGGCTTCAGAAAAATGGATTTGAAAACAAACAATACATTTAAATAGCTTTTACAATACAACATGATGTGTGCCGACAGAACACTGAATTCAGTGCCTACCAAATAAAGGTTATCTCATTGGCTATTTAGAATACAATGACTAAATGCAATGAGCAAAAATTTTTTTTTTGTTTGCGCCTTAAAATTTTGTCATCTTCAGCTGGGGAGACAAAAAAGGGATCTCTAAGAGATAAACCTTCACAGATCGCAAGTGTGCTTCAGCCGTATTTTCAGCAAGTTGGAAGCTAGTCCTCAGTCTTGGATACAGAGATGACTTCAAGTGTGCTTACTCACATGGCAGAACAAAAATATACATTTGGGTACAGACTTCATACTTGAAGTTGCAGGTACAGCCATCTGTATGTGGGAAAATGCCTGTGAAAAAACTTGAGGGCAAAGCTTAATCATTTGCTCTTATGTACGTGCTCTTGCTGTTGTCCAGGGGATTTATCCGGGTAATACCCAGCAGTGCAGATGACGTATATACATCAGTGAGCAAGCAGACTCCAGTTGGAGTGGTCCTTTCAAATTTATAATTTTATAAAGCACACATGATAATAGTATTCTTTCCTTTCCTTTCCAAATTTAATTCTAAGTTAAAACAAAGGGATTCAGTTAATCAGAAATCCACTCAAACACTTGTAGAACAGGTATTCTACGTCTTAAAATCTGCTGTATGTTTCAGTGCCCAGCTGATATTAATAGAGAGGGCAGAAGTTAAAGCTCCATACTAAGGGATATCTTGATTTATAACACAGTTAACAGCTGATAGGTCTGATTATATTGCGACTATCTAATCTTAAATGTTCTTTCCTGTTTGTCCCTCACTTATACTGAGTAATTTAAAATATCAAAAAGAGAGATTACTGGAGATGAATTAAAGCTACAGGAAGATGGAGGTTTGAAGATTTGTTTTTAGTAGGCATTTGAACCAAAAAGAAGTCAGAATGCTCTGTTCAGAACCTGTAGCACAAATGGTAACGAATATGTGTTACCGTTTTAATTATTACTGCCTGTTTAATGTGAGATTTCTTGCAGCCATGTCCTTGAATAACCATTTCTTAACTAAAATGACACAATTCTGTAGCCAGTGATCCATGACTTTAAATATTTGGAAGGGCTATTGATTCACTGAACTGGAAGAAACTAAAGATGTTGAGGCGTATTTTCAAAAGTAGAATTACATGTATTATAAACTGTGTTTGATAATGTATACTCTATTTAATGTTTAAATAATTAAAAAAAAAAAAGCTAGGTACATGTAATACACTGTTCAATTTACCTGTAATAGCTTTAACTAAACATTTGTGGCATAGTTTAAATCAGCTATGTGTAGTACTGTGAGAGCTGCTAGCACCTACAGCACCTCCCCTTGTTCCCATGTCGTGGTTCTCTGCATGTACCTATTTCTGTTTATGGTAGTCATTCTCTCTAGGTAAATTGTCCATAAGACCAATGATTCCATCAGCAAATTATCCAGAAAATGCCATCAGTGCGCATGGTGACATTTGTGCCACTGGTGGTTTTGTTGCTATTCCAGTGGTCTAATTAAATTGGCAGTTTTCTCTTGTGCCCGGCATCGTTGCCTCCCTTCCTTTGGCACCTTAGCTCAGACCTTCTCCTTTTCTCTGTCCTTTTAGCTGAATATCAAATGCATTATTGATTGCTCCTCTTCCACCCTCCTCACTTCCACTCCCCTCAACTTTTTTTTTTATCTTTTTTTTTTGATTGGCAGTATCATCCAGACAAACAGAAGGCAGATGTGCCAGCAGGAGAAGTGGAGGAGCGCGTGCAGAGGTTCATCGAAATTGATCAAGCGTGGAAAATTCTAGGGAACGAAGAGACAAAAAAAGAGTATGACCTGCAGCAGCGTGGTAGGTTCCTGCCAAGGAGTGCTGTAATGGCAGCAGCTCTTTAAATAAGCAGGGTCTGGGAGTGGTAGTTAGATGGTATTTTAAAATGCTGTTTATTGCTGAACCAAATGTTTCTTTCGCTCTTGTCCTACTTTCAAATGTGGATCCATTATTTATAGCTTTTGCTACACATACATTAGCTAGTGAAAACATTGAATTACTTCCAACAGAACATTAGGTGGCGTAACTCCTAATAATTCGAACGCATATGACATTTATACTAATTACAGACCTTAGCCCTTTTTATTTTATTAAGGCAGCTTCATTAAGTGTTCTTAATTTTAAGTCTTACGCTACATTTTGTTGCAGTATCTTAGATATAGGTATTAATCCGTTTATACCTGATGTTCAATGTGTATGGGTTTATAAGCGCTTCAGAATCATTAAGACACATTCTTTTTGGTGGGGTGTGTGTGTTATGGTGGCTTTCATAATTCATCTGTGGTCCAAACTAGTCTTTTTAAAGCAGGTTTATAAATAATATTCCAATATAACACATTAACTAGGCAGCTCCGGCATGCATTTCTTTTTATACCTCTCAGAAAATAGCTTCTTAAAACAGTGACAGGCTGTTGTGAGAAAGAAAGGGGGGAAATGTAGGTCAGGTCTGTCACACATGGGCTACCATTACATGAAGTGATAGGCTGTCTTTCTGCTCTGGCCTCAGGATAGGAGTCCCTCAGCCTTCCATTAGAACCTTCAATAAATGTATATCCACCCTACATGTTAATGGGGGGAGTCAATAATAGTGTATTGCCTGTGGGGAAAACACTCAGTCGCACTCTGCAGTAACACACTCTGGTCCAGCATTGACGTGTAGCCACCACCACTTTTGAATGTGTCTGATAAAAGCCCACTGTCTCTGCAGCTTGTTATTGAATTCTCTTCCATTGTACATTGGCACACCATCAGACCTTTCTCTCTTGTGCTGATTTTTAACTCCCCTGCCGCTGCGGATACCAGAACTTTGAGAGACAAAGGCTTAGTCATTCTGGCAGATATGCATCACTGCAGGATAAAAAGAGTGATATATAATTGTATATACCCAGTATGAATTCTCTAGTTAAATAATCCTGTATTTCAGACTTTGAGTGGGTTTTGGAAAAGAGGGTGGAAGGGTGGAAACAGAATTGTTGAATAAATATTTTAAAAGAATGGAAAAAATGGAATTTTGTGCTAATTTGTTATGTAATCAGTATTAAGATCAAGCTTAAATAAATTTTTCATCTCAAACTTATTTTTATTAAATGCCTGAATGTGATGCCAGAACAGGAATTGCTGCTACTCAGTGCTCTCATCCTATTGTACTCTTAGCATTGTACTATCAGCTGTGGCTTCCATTTTCACAAATTGTACATGCACAGGAAAAAAAAGAAACATTAGAGATTTAGTTAGAAGTCTCCTGTGAGTTTTACTTAAAGCTGAAATACAGACCATGAAGTTCCATTTTGCTTGGGTCAGGTTAATCCACTGAAGTCGAGAGCTACATCAAGATTTAATAAGCTACTTGGTTTTCCCATGGAACTTAAGGGCATTGCTATAAATTAGTTTTGACAAAATGTATTCTACAGTATTTAAAAGGTTATCTATACTTCCTGAGATTCTTTTGCATCCAGATGAGTTCTTCTAAAAGCAGTCTCAAGGTTCTGTAAAAAAGACTTAGTAAATAACGAAAATCAATTGTACATCTATTGACACAGGTATTTGGTAATGGTATGGTAACGGGATCCATATATTTTAACATAGAGGGTGCCATTCACAGAGGACCCAGTGTTTCAAACTAAGCCACATGTAACATACATGTGCAGTGTGGCTGCATTCTTTGCAGCATGTTCCCTGGCAGCAAAATGATGGTGACATAAATTCTAGTTCTTTGAATGCCTGTCAAGCTGCTTCTGAAGTCATGATTCTAGACAAATTCGTAGACGCTGCTGCAAAAGCTCAGAGAAACAAAGGAACTGAGACAGCAGCTAAGGGGAACAGTGATGAGAGACATAATATAGCAAGTTAGTAAGACTGCAAAGCCTAGGAAGCAGAACGTGAAGGGTGCCAGTGTGCATGTGCGTGTGGCTGCCAGTCAGCAGGGAGCCCTTTGCACTGTGGTCTTTTTCTCATTTCACAGATTGTTTATTTGTATGTACCGTCTTGCTTTATACTAACTAAATCTTAATTACTTGGCTCAGAAATTCAATGGCCAAAAAAGTCTTAAGAAGCTGAAATTCTGTGGGGCTCTATGGTTTTAATTGTGGTTTGGTTGGTTTTTTGATCCCATCGTTGACAATAACAAGGGAATGTGCTTTCGTATCTTGATACCGCTTCACTCTAAAGGCATCACAATGATCTCATGCTAAATTTTTGTGTCTTCAGGCCCTAGTATTAAAGAGGAAAGGACAAACCTCTAACGATTTAGAGGTTTGGCGTAAATACTTATCCAAGCCTCTCTGGTCTGGAAATCTTACAAGAACTGCCTTTTTGTATGTTTTGTGAAAATTTTTTCCAATTCATTGTTTTGTCCTGTCTTTAATGACATAAGAATACCTTTTTTTAATGGTGAATCTTTTGCTTCCAATCCCTGTGAAAAATTTGGGGGATGGAAAAGAAAGCTGCATGACAATTTACCTGTTAAGAATGGACTTTTTTTTTTCCCTTAACTATTTTCTTCTTAGAGATTTTTCCATTCTTTGTTTGGTATCCCGTTTAGAAAAGATGAATACACAGTTAAAATCAAGTTTGACAGTAATAATTACCAAAAGTTCTTCAGTGAGTTTAGCTTGGAAAAAAAACTGGTTTATGGTTTTCATATTAGAAGTCATCTGAACCCTGAAAGCTCATGCTTTTGTGTCACAATTTGAAAGAATAAAAAACTTTTCACAGAATCAGAGTATCACGTAGGTTGGAAGGGACCTTCACAGGTCATCTGCATCAATCTCCTACTCAAAGCAGGTTCCACATAGGTCAGTTGCTCAGACCTTCTCCAGCCTACTTTTTACTGTCTCTAAGGATGGAGATTCCAGAGCCGCTCTGGGCAGCCTGTTTCAGTGTCTGAACACCCTCAGAGTAGGAAAACCAAAACAAACAAAACAAAAAAAATCAACAAGGACAAATGTAAGGTCTTGCACCTGGGAAAGCATAACCCAGGAGTGCAGCACAGACTGGGACCTACCTGGCTGGGGAGCAGCTCTGTGGAAAGGGACCTGGGGGTCCTGGTTGACAACAAGCTCAATATGAGTGAATTTGTTGCTGTGGCAAAGAAAGGCAACAGGATGCTGGGTTGCATCAACAAGGGCATCACCAGCAGAGATAAAGAAGTCATGCTCCCACTCTACTTGTCAGGCCGCATCTGGAATACTCTGTTCAGTTTTGGTCCCCGCTACGCAAAAAAGATGTGGACAGGCTGGAGAGGGTCCAGAGAAGGGCCACCAAGATGATCAAAGGACTGGGAAGCCTGCCGTGTGAGGAAAGGCTGAAAGAATTGGGTTTGTTCAGCCTTGAGAAAAGAAGGCTTAGGGGAGACCTTATCACCATGTTCCAGTATTTAAAGGGTGGCTACAAAGAAGGTGGAGACTCCCTTTTTACAAGGAGTCTCATGGAAAAGATGAGAGGTAATGGGTACAAGTTACTCCTGGGGAGGTTCTGATTAGACACAACAGGAAAAATTTTCACAATGAGAACAATCAGCCATTGGAATAATCTCCTCAGGGAAGTGCTAGATGGACACTTTTAAGATTCAGCTGGACAGGGTGCTGGGCCATCTTGTCTAGCCTGTGCTTTTGCCAGGAAAGGTTGGACCAGGTGATCCTTGAGGTCCCTTCTAACCTGCTATTCTATGATTCAAAACATGTTTTCCTTCTATCAAGTCAGATATGAGGACTCTTTTTGCAACTTGTCCCTTTCACTTCTCATCCTTCCAGAGTGCACATCTGAGAAGTCTTCTCTACACTCTCATATTAGGTAGTTGTAAATAATGAGATGCCTGTGTTCTTTTGGCTTCTCCTCCTGTGATGTGTGTCCCAACGCCTGACTATGCTGGTAGTCCACCAGACTTGCATCTGTATGTCAGGGCTTTGTACTGGGGAGACCAAAGCCGGACACAGGACTTGAGGGGCAGTCGCGTTAAGTGCTGAGTAGAGAGGAAAAAAAATCACTTCCTTGACCCGCTGGCTACGCTGTTGCTAATACAACCCACTACGGGGTTGGCCTTTACGGCAAGAGTATCTTGCTGACTCGTGTTGAACCTGTTGTCCACGAGGACCTGCAGGTTCTCTTCTGAAAAACTGCTTTCCAGCCAGTTGTCTCCCTGGCTGTACTGCTGCATTAGGTTATTCCATCCCAAAAGCAGGTCTTAATCTTTGTCAAACCCTTTGTCCCTGTAAGCCCATTTCTATATCCTGTCGAGGGCCCTTTGAATAGCAGCCCTGCAACTTTTGTGGGTTTTTGTCGACTTAAATACAAAGGAACTGTGTATCTAAACAATCGCATAATTAAGGTAATTAATTTCACTCATTGATTTTACATTTTGATTATTAATGATTGAATGAGTAACAGAAAGGTCACAATTAAAATTAAATAAACTGATGACCTTGAATAATTTGAATAATTTCTGACACTAAATATAGCAAATAAGTCAAAGCTAGTAATGGGATTCACCCTGAAACCAGTTGCTTTGTATACGTTCTGGGGGCAGAGGGTAGAAAAATTTAAGAATCTAGGGGTTTTCCACGTATGGCTCCAGTGAGGTTCTAGCCAGGATAATGTGTTTTTATGTGATGATGGACACAGGTGTCCATAAACCAAAAGTGTTTATAGGGTGGGGGATGTAATCACCAGTAGGAGCTTTCACATCTCAGTACATACCTCCTTTTGATTCTCAATTTTTAAATTACACTCTTAGAAAAATATTGCAGATGCAGTTTTCATACATGAATACCTATCCCAACATCATTTTCTTTGTTCTTGCTTCA